CTCCCCTTCACCCCCTCCGCCCTCTTATGCCCCCCAGGCGAAACGGCGCCGCCGCCCCGCGCGCGCGCGGCGGATTTTCCTCTCTGGCAGTAAAACAGGCGCCGCGCGAGCGACAAGGTGAGAGAGGGAGATAGTATAGTCAACCAGACGGAGAGAAAGAGTGAGATGGAGGCCGCGTTTCGCGCAAAGTTGTTGACGCGCCGCTCCCGATTCTCGGTACCCTCGCTATGAAGTCCTCCCCCCCTCCCCTTTTCCACTACCTCCCCTGCCCGTCGGGGCGGTGGAGCAGCGGCGTAGCCAGGGGCTCGCGAGCGCTCTAATCACTGTAATCGAGGTGTGGTTGGGCGGGGCGGGGCGTAGCGGAAAGGGGGCGACAAAATAAAAACGGCCCTCATTTTACCAACATGGATCAATTCCCCCTTCCACGGCTATGTGCGACGCTGTGCGTGGCTGCGCGCAGCGGCATCAACACCCTCCCCGCTGCGTGGGAGTGATGCGGGGTCGGATGGTGTTTCCTTATTTCCAAAACGACGACGGTTCGTAAATGGTGCGGTGTCCGGCCTGGGGGATAGTACACTGGGAAAACAAAATGTAGAATGTTGCACACCAATTCCTGTGCTCTCCATTAATGTAAAACTTTGCACACTTTCCTGCTCTCACGATCGTCATAGGTGCAAACTTTGCGCACTAGCAAACATCTAAGCAAACTGCACAACAACTGGTGTGCAATTTCTCACACTTGGTATGCCTTTTCCTGCACTATTCACCGTGTAACATTAAACCCATTAAACAAAGCTTTTCTCAACTGACTATCCTTTTTAAGCACAATAAGTCAGTACTTTTTAAACTTCTACTCGTGTTGTTTTTGAACTTTCAATAATTCAGAAAAGTGTCATCTCTTTTCTGAAAAATGAGTACGAAGGCTGAAGCTGAAACAGAGGGGTGAGTGTGAGTGGGTAGAGCCGAGCGGCGACCTCGGGCCTCGGCCGCCGTGGGGGAGGGTTGAATGTGGCGAGGGGAGGAGAGAGAGAGCGAGAGAGTGATAGAGCGCGTTGCCATGGAAACGGTCGCTCCCCTCCCCCACTGTAGCGGTGATGCTTTCTAACTTTACTGTACACAAAAAAATGTAATGCACATTGATGGAGGAGGGGAGGGGCCTGGGGAGCCGGGGGCCCCCGGGGAGACGAGGGAGCGAGCCGCCCGCAGCCCGCGCTGTATACTCAATTCGGTAAAAACAAGTCTGATTTTTGCAGGGAAAAGGGAAATTTTTTAGGAAGTCCGCTTTAGCTTAGGAAAACTCCGAGTGGGCCTCAACTGCCCTGCAGAGTGGACACCTGATTGCCAAGATTGCCAGATTACTAGAAGAATATTTTCCTTTCGGGGTATAAAGCTCTTGCACCTAGACAAAACACAATAGTCTAAAAACATAAAACTTTAAACTTATTGCACTGCAACGCTGGTTATAACGACGCGACGGCTTGTTCAACGAGCAGGAGAAGTCTCTTTTCCTCTCCCTATCCCTTGACATTATTCCTTCGTGTCCTCCCCTCCTTCC